GGTGTGTGTGGGGCTGGGCGGCCTGGCAGCGGGGTGTGTGTGGGGTGGGGGCCTGGCACGGGTATGTACGTGGGGCTGGGCTGCCCGTGCGGATGAGGAGGAAACGTGAGTCAGCAGAGCTGCCCGCGGGGTCGCGGGGCCGCCGCGCTCGCGGAGACGGGCGGTTTGGCGCTTGTTTTGGAGCGAGGAGCGAAGCCGCCTGGCCCTGCTGCGGCCTGGAAGCGGCCGCAGGCATCAGGAGCGCCTGTCGCTGCTCGTTGCCCCCGAGCTCGCCCCGCGTCTGTTGGTGAACCGCCCTGTGCTTGTCCTGTAGCCGTGGTGCAGCCTTGTTGGGCTGGGGCTCCTGCCTGCCCCTTGCGAGGGACCTCAGACTTCAGTCATGGGCTTTAAGTCAACATTATTATCACTTATTCAGGTGTTAATGGTAGTCAGTGAATGATACAGAGAGGCTTCTTGAGTGCAGACAGGTTGTAATGCCCGATTTGGCATAAACCAGAAGTGCTGTGTAGTTAAAGAAAATTATAAAATAAAATGATTAAGCAGTATTTGTTTTGGGTTTTTTTTTTCTGTTTAGGTCATGGAGTCCCATAGCTCCCTCAGCAGTCAAGAGAGTAAATCATCAGCTTCTGAAAGTGAAGATGATATTGAGTTTGTTGGAGTAAGTAGATCTTGAACTGGAGACAATACTGCCTGTTCTTGTCGATGTGCTCTCAGTGGCCTGATAAAATAGGAGTGGGTGTTTGTGTACTGTGTTGATGACTCTGATTATACTTTGATGGAAAGTGTTACTTCTGGATTTAAAGATAATTTGTAAATCTTTGTGGCAGATAACATGCTTATCCTAAGTGTTTATCTACCCTTTCTTTGGAAAGGTATAAGATTTTGTCGTAGAGGCAATATAGACTTGAGTGTCCCAGGAGATGAGTGGGTGATTACAGTGATCATTGAGAGATAGGAAAAGTCACTGTAGACATCTTTTCTGGTAATCATAGTGTATAGCATTCTGCTTCATGAATAGTTCCTCTGAGGTTAATGGCATAAAGAACTACTCATTCTGCAAAACAATGTCAAAAACACCACACTTTGTTGAAAAGAGGAAGCAATATAAGGGGTTAGAGGCCTTAAACGATCTTCTCAAGTTGTGAAGCACTGTATAATAGCTACAGTACCTAGTCTAATGCTGACCTGTGGCTTATGAGAATGTAGCTTTGAGATACATTTGTTGAATATCCAAGAAAAGCAGAACGTTTTATATGCTGCCTGTGCTCTGGCCTTCATCAGTGAAGTGGTGCTGGGTGGCAGGGATACGTGCAAGAACAGAGAGGTGATTTTTCTTAGGGAACAAATTGTACAAATAAGATCAGGTTAACTGATGCCAGGACTAATAATGTCTGGTTTCCTATGGATTTGTCTGGCCCCCATTCAGTTTGCTTGGGAAGGTAAGGCAGAGGCACAGGCACAGGCAGGTAAGCCTGTGAAGAGATTCACAGGCTTAATGGGGTCTGTAGCCATCTACGAGAAGTTTCTGAAGACACTGGGATCAGGAAAGCAAGGGACTGCATTCTTACAAATAAAAGCCAAGGCTAAAACCATTAAGGTGATTGCAGACGACAAAAAACAGAGCTGGAGCCTTCAGACATCTTAGGGAGGAGACAAAAACTATCAATAGTCTTTAGTGATTCACAAAGTAGGGGCAGAATGGAGAGAGACAAAAGATCGAAAATACAAAAAAGGAGCACATGACTGCCAAGCTAGGAAGCCTGGAAAAAACCTAAGTAGTTGCTGATGGCCAGGGTCTTTTGTCCTCCATATAGCTGCGTGGAGTCCGGGATGTGCATCTTTGCAACTGAATGCTGGACAGACGATTTGGACTTGTGTCTTTGTGCTTTTGGGTATGTGGTGTGTAAAGGTGAAATGTGTGTTCTGTTACAATAAAATGACCCTCGCCCTCATTATGATCCAAATACAGAGAAGACACTTGTAACCTGCTTATGGAGTATCTGTTTTTTTTAATAAAAAGCCGAACAAACAAAACCAAAACAAACCCTGAAAAACAATGTAAAAACATTATGCATTTCTTAGTGAAATCTAAGACTGTCCCTGTCTTGTTAACAGACTGCTGCCCTATTGCCATCGAATTCATGGTGCAAGTAGAGTATTTTAAAAAATGTAGATCTAAGGTAGTTGAGGAGGTGAAGGATAAGCAAACCAGGAATGTTAATTTGATACTTTTTTCTGGTTGATACCCATGTGTAAGTTGGTGCTAAAATTATTTGTAAATACATGTTTTGTATTACATGTTTTCTAAACTGGCATGTTTTGCCAGTTTCCTGCATTAGTTTGTTAAGTGGAAAAGTGGCAGGGCAGAAATGTTAATACTGCACCTTCCTGAAACCTTGGTGAATTTCTCCTTCAGGTATTGCTAATGCTGACAATACGCTGCAACGCATGCACCATTTTATCTCTGAGGAAGACAGTTTAATGCTTGTGTATGTTTTTAGCACCCTTTTTTTTTTTTTTTTTTTTTTTAGGAAGGACCTTTAAGACCTGTAGTTGAATGCATTGATCTTGTCAGTAGTGAGGATGAAGAACCTACCAGTAGTTCTTATGTTAATGTGAGTATGTTGTAATGTATTCTGGGACTTTTCACTTGATTAAAATAGTCTGTATTTTTTTCTAATCGGTTGCTCTTAAAAAAAAACCCGAACAAACAACAAACTTAAGAAATGTTTTTAACAAGTAATAAGTAAATAAACCAACATCAAAGTCTTGATTTTTGTTACCTACTGTTGAGAGGAAGGCAAGAATGCCAGCTCTTCATTTTTTTCCAGATTTGTTTTTTGACTTATTGAAATGGACTGGGAACTTTTATTTGGCTTTCAGTGGTTTTAGCAAATGTGTTGAAGAAAAATACCACTTTGCAACCAACCTCAGAAGTCAATGTGTCTAGTCTCTAGCCTGCAAATGTATTTGGCTTACTGCTAGGGGATTTTATACTGATGACAACCTGGTCTTGCCTCACCCTCATTCTTCATAATCCCTCCTAAAAATGTATGAGTCAGAAGCAGGCTGGTCATTTCATATACCCCCAAAGTTAATTGTGCCTACTCAGCAGGACTTCAGACAGGGACAGTGACAGAGGCTTACTGTTGGCAGCAGTGGCCATCTGTTAACTTTTGTTTTCTAGTGTTGCACTAGAGGATGTGTATGATGAACTTGGTTTTTAAGAAAAGGTGAGTCTTCTGCTTATGCAGAGGCTTACTCCACAGTGGTGATTGTTCAATCTGGTCATGTAGCAGGAGCAAACTACAGTGTGTGGCCTATCCCTTATGCTAGAAAAATCTAATGATCAGCCCTTCTGAAGGTACTGGTCATTGTTGTCTTACAGCAAGAATGATCAGTTCTCAGTTTTTTCACATGGGCCGCATGTTGCCTTTGAAATATTTAGGATTTTGGTTTACCTACTTAGTATAATTTACTGAATTTTTAATTTTTTGGAGACTTCTAGAGTACCCAGCATAATCATCCATGTGCCTTACAGTGTTTTGGTGAGGCCAGCGCTGATGTTAAATTGACTTGAATATGTAGGGTGTGGGCATGGGGTTTGTTTCTCTTTCAACAGAAGTTACAGATGCTGATAAATAGGAAAACTAGCAAGGTAGGTCATGGAACTTAGGATCAGAGTAGCTGTACAGAATTATGTCCTGATGCTTGGCCATCACTTTCACCATATTAGTGCCTGTTACTTAGCAATTACCAAATAAAAGTTTTAACTTTTCAACTGTAGAGAGATACGAAACGTAAAGATCACGTTGACTATCAGAAAGAACGAGTTGCATCAACCTTGGCTCGGCTGGCACGCCATGTTGAAGTAGAGAAACAGCAGAAAGAAGAGAAGAACAAAGCCTTTAAGGTATTAGACATACTTTGTTTCAGTAGAATTGCATAGCACAGGCCTTGTAGTCAGGAATGTGTTTGTTTTCAGTACTAAGCAAATAAAAAGATTGGTGAGCCAGACCTGGAATTAGCAATTAGAGATATTTTTTTTTGTATTCCTGGGCATCTTTTGAAACGTAACATGGACTTTGTATCTTCAGTGGCTTTTAACTGGTCAGTTTGATGGCCTTATTGGAATTCCTAACCGGAGGGAGGTGGGGGGAGAACCCCAACTAAGTTAATGCAAGCCAGTGGCAAAAACTTGTCTTGTTTGTGTATATAGCAGAAGGAACTTAGCATCAGTTATTCTGCTTAAATAATTGAAAAATTACAGTTGCCACAAACCACCATGCGGTAGACCTAGTTACCTACTTGCTTTTGTCTGAGATATCCAGGAAGTTGTCTGACACATTAAATCTCTGTATCAGCTAATATTTTATAATGGAATACATTTTTCAATGTATAAGACAAAATTTTAAAGTTGAATCATATTAATTGTATTGTACAGCCATTTTTATTACAAACTGGGAGATGCAGTCAATAGGCTTAAGAATGGGACGGGTATCAGTGGGACCTGGACAGCTTGAAGGAATGGGCTTACAAGAACCTCACGAAATTCAACATGGACAAATGCAATTCTAATATTTGTGAAACATGCTGACTTTCTAGCCTAATTTTCTGAACACTACTAATAGCTTTTTAAGTTACATAATTTGCTGTATTTACAGCTTGATGTAATCTACAATAAACTATGCAACAGTAATATAACAGAGTAAAAGGCTGTTAGGTATAGTCCAAAGTAGCCTGCAAGTCCAGAGACCCATATCCCTCTCCTATCTCCTCCACTTAGAATTTGGCAATCTGTTAATGTCTCTTATGTACAGCTTTTCAACTGTAAAGTGAAGTCACCCACTGTCAGGCTAAAAATTCCTTTTGTTTATGATGAATGAAGGCTAAACATTCCTTTTGTTTATGATGAATGTTTTCCTGCTGGGTGGCTCCTCAGGAGGTAGTGCAATCTAAAGAATTAAAATTACTGTTCAAAGTGAAATTGTAATTTATGTTTTTTTTTGCCTCGGCAGTGGAACAGACTCTTTTGTTTCAATAATCACTTTGTGCTGCCTTTTTTTTTAATTATGATTTGTTTGTTTTTATAATCTTACAGTCTCAAAAATCTTCTTGGTTACGTACACGCTTCAGAAAGTTCAGTAGGTGCAATAACAGTAAATTATTGACCTTAGCTGTAGCTTTTATTTAGGGCATAACAATTATTCAATTATTTTATTTTTTAAAATTTCTGTTACACTCCATCCGTATTATTTTATATAGAAGTCAGGTTGTTCAAGATTATTTCCCCCCTCCCCCTCCTTGGTTTCTGTGGGGTTTTTTTCCCTTAGGTTTTTAGACACCCACGGTTAAGCTTTGGTATACATACTTTAACATTGAATTTTTTTTTTTTTCAATTTAATCACCACCTTGCCTAATACATTTTCACCTTCAGGAGAAAGTTGATTCCCAATATGCTCAGGCATTGCAAGAACTAGAATTTATTCGGCAGCACACTGACACAGAAGATGCAAGATCATGTGTCAGACAGTGGTTAAAAATGCCAGGTAAGTATAGGAAACTAAGTTCGTTTTTTAAGTCCTGCATTACAGAGTAGAAGTCTGATCATTGCATTGAGCAATATTGACATTGAGCTTGCTGGTGCCTCTAATGCATAACCAAATCTTAAAATACTAACTTTGCTCAAGTATGTATTTCAAAAGTTCTTGTACACCCACTTCCATAAAAACTATTCTTCTGATGTTTTGCTGCTTAGAAAATTTAATATACAAAGTCTAAAAATCACTACGGCAATGTTAACTTCTTTTATAAGCAAATTTGATAGAAGGAAGAATGTAACTGTTGAACTGTTGCTCAGGAATATATCTACATAAGTAAGTCTAACTTCAGGAAGTTCAATGAATTTAAAATATTGCCAGGATGACCTGGAGGAAGGGTGTCAAAGTGCTCAAGAAGCACAATCCTCTGGGGATTGAAAAGGCAGATTCTTCAACTGAAAGAACAGACTTAATGTAGTTGGATTGCATTACAGTGCATTGTTACATTGTTAGCTTGCTTTAAAGAATTAATATAACTTGATTTTTTAAATGTTTAGGGCTTGTGTGTTTTTTAGTTTCTTTTCTTAAGCTTTTATGATTCAGATTCTGATTAAGTGCTTTATTTTACAACACAGATCTTGAACCAGGCACCATTAACAGTGGAAAAAGGCGTATTTGTAAGAGGGCAGGTCAGACACGAGTCAACCGCAGTCCCATATCTTGTCCTGTGATGCACTGTGACAAGGAGTTTGATAATGCAGCTCTTCTCCTAGGTCACCTTCAAAGGTAAGGACATAGTGAAAGAGCTCAGTGCAAGTAATAGTGAAAGAATATGCTTGAACTTAGAATGCCAGTGTCAAGTCTACTTTAAACTGTCTGTAGTGACAAAATTTCATTTGGAGAGCAGATTAAAATGTTACAGATTTTATACAGATGATGTGATGAAGTTCCACGTTGGTTGGGGTTGGGTTTTTTGTTGTGGTTTTGTTTGTCTGTTTTGGGGGGTTTTGTTTGGGTTTTTGTTTGGTTTGGTTTTTTTTGTTCAGAATTGGTTTTTTTCCTCTTGTTTAGCCTTTTTTAATATCTGGGATTTTTTGAGAAACAAGATTTTCTGTTCACTAGTTCTGTTATTTTTTCATCCGAACTTGAAAAAGAGCAAAAGGCTAATGTATACAATTTGTTGATAAGATAAAAAAGATCTTCCTAATGAAGGGAAGGAGGAGCACAGGTTGTAGGCCAAACGTTGGTTCATAGTTGATCATTGCTAATCAGCACTCACTGTTTCTGGCGTCAATTCCAGCATATACTGCCTTTTAACTAGTGAATGTGTCATGGAGAAGGTAACAAAGACAGAAGTTGAAGGGAGTGTTCTAGGTTAACCCTGGTAGACAGCTGAGACCAGCACAGCTGCTCGTTCACTCATCCTTGTGGGATGGGGAAGAGAATCAGAAGGGTAAAAGTTAGAAAACTCTGGGCTGACATAAAAACAGTTTAATAAGTAAGGCAAAAGCTGTGGATGCAAGCAAAGCCAAATAGAGAATTCCCATCAGTGGGCAAGACTTCATATATTACACATGATAATTACTTGGGAAGACAAATACCACCACTTAAAACATCCCCCCTTCCTCCTCCTTTACTCAGCTCTTATTTAAGAGCATGGCATCATATGCTATGGGACATCCCTTTGGTCAGCTAGGGTCAGCTATCCCAGCTGTGTCCTGGCCTCTTGCCTACCCTCCTAAAAACAGTGTGATTCCTCTTCAAAGCGGTCATTTAAACAGGTCGGCTGCAGGGAGGATCACCTCTGTATAGGATACTTCAACTGATAATTAATGACAGAGGAAGTACAAAGTCTTACCATTAAGGTAGATTTGATAGGCTTTTGTCCAACAGCTTGAATAGACAGGATTTTTCTCATGAAAAGAACATTTTGACTATTTAGAGAGGACTAGTTTGTTAATTATTTTTTCTTTCCAGGTTTGATCATTCTCCTTGTGACCCAACAGTCATGTTACATGGACCCTCAGATAATGCTGTTGCCTGTGTGATATGCTGCAAAATATTTTCAACCTCTCAGGAGTACAGTGATCATCTTTTATCTAAGGCAAGATTGTAAGGATAAGTAACTCACCTGACGGAACATAGGAGAGGGTTTTCAAAATGTATACTTGGTACTTTTAACCCTCTTTCTTTCCCCTCCCTTCTTTTAGTCTTCAGGATAGTTTGCCCTCTCCCTGGAGGTGTTCAAGGCCAGGTTGGACAGGGTTTTGAGCATGCTGGTCTAGTGGAAGTTGTCCTTGCCTATGCAGGGGGATTGGAACTAAATGGTCTTCTGCGTCCCTTCCAACCGAAACTGTTCTGTCATTCTATGATAGTTTTTCTTATTCTGCTGTGTTTCAAACACCTGATGTATATTTACAGTATTCCCATTAGATCTGATCATTAGGTTGTCCTTCTGAGAGGACCATAGTTATGTCTTGAACCTCTTGTCCCTGTATTGGTGCTGTTGAAAGGTACTGCCTTTTTTTAGCATCTCAAAAACTATGACAGATAAAGGCAAGAAGTTAGGGTGAAATATATGATAGTAAAGAGAAGCAGCAGAAAAGAGGTGGGGGGAAAAAAGGGAAGAGAATGACAAAAAGAAACTTGAGTGAGTCAGATGCAACTGTTTCTTCTCAGTTTCCAATCTCTGATAGATTTATTTGCTGCTGCTCACAGAAGGGAAAAGGATAATCTAGCATTTGAGTTTTGATCTGAATATAAGCTAATACTATTTGCTTTTTTGTTGTTGTTCATCCCTACCTCCACTCTTTTTTTCTTTTTTTTATAATGCTATCTTTTCCTTTTATTCATAAATTACCCCTGTAACACCTCAGCTCAATGACAGATACTCAGGTGTTATTTTCAGGGTGCATGGTTTTATTTAAACAGGCTAGTGTTGAATTGAATAATGGATAATAGTTTCAAAATTTAGTGTTTTAATAACAAATATTGTGATGTACCCACCTCTTCTCCAGAAGCTGTGTTAATTTCAAGGGAAGTTTTAGGTGCTCTGAAAGATGGACTGCTTATACCTAGTAGTAGTAACTACTGATGCATGCTCATAGAATCATCATGGTTGGAAAGGACCCTTGAGATCAGAGTTCAACCATCAACACAAAAATACAAAAAAAAACCCCCACCACAAAAAAAAAACCAAAAACACAAAACAAAAAAAACAAACAAACAAAAACCAACAATGAAAAAAAGAAACACAAAAAAACCCAACCAACCCACAATCTCTGCCACTAGAGCAGGCCCTGAAGTATGACATGTACACATTTCTTGAATACCTCCAAGGATGGTGACTCCACCCTGCGCAGGCTGTTCCAGTGCCTGACCACTCTTTCAGTATAGAAGTTCTTGAAAGACTACATCATACTTTGCCCCTGCTCTCTTTGCATTGCTTCCATGTTGTGTGCCTATGGTGTGTTCAGGGGTGTTAGCAGGAGTTACAGGCAAGTTTGGTGAAAGTGTAGAGTCTTGCATCTGGGGAGGAACAACCCCGTGTACCAGTACAGGTTGGGGGCTGACCTGCTGGAGAGCAGGGTAGGAGAAAGGGACCTGGGGGTCATGGTAGACAGGAGGATGACCATGAGCCAGCAATGTGCCCTTGTGGCCAAGAAGGCCAATGACATCCTGGGGTGCATTAGAAAGGGTGTGGTTAGCAGGTCAAGAGAGGTTCTCCTCCCCCTCTATTCTGCCTTGGTGAGGCTGCATCTAGAATATTGTGTGCAGTTCTGGACCCCTCAGTTAAAGAAGAACAGGGAGCTGCTTGAGAGAGTCCAGTGCAGCACCACAAAGATGATTAAGGGAGTGGAACATCTCCCTGATGAGGAAAGGCTGAGGGAGCTGGGTCTCTTGAGTTTGGAGGAGACTGAGGGGTGACCTCATCAAAGTTTACAAGTATGTTAAGGGGGAGTGTCAGGAGGACAGAGCCAGGCTTTTTTTAGTGACATCCAGTGACAGGACAAGGGGCAGTGGGTGCAAACTGGAGCACAGGAGGTTCCATGTGAATATCAGGAAGAACTTTACTGTGAGAGTGACAGAGCACTGGAACAGGCTGCCCAGACAGGTTGTGGAGTCTCCTTCACTGGAGACATTCAAAACCCGCCTGGACATGTTCCTGTGTGATGTGCTCTAGGTGATCCTGCTCTGGCAGGGGGGGTGGACAAGATGATCTTTCGAGGTCCCTTCCAACCCCTAAGATTCTTTGATTCTGTGAAAGGGGATGGCTCTTGCAGTGAACAAGAAGATGGGATTTCCATTTTTGTGTGGAAGGATGAGGAGATAATCCTCAACAAAGCTGTGGAAGAAAACATAAGCTTTGAAGATTCTTTGGGTGACATAAGCAAATGAGTAAGCAATTAAAAGACTTGGCTTGAAGGCAGAGATCTGAAAATAATGTAGAAGGCAAAGAAGGTGAAAGGAATTGACTTCAGTAAAAGTCACAGGCCTGTCAGGCTACTGTGAGGAGCAGCATTTTGAGAAGTTTGACCCTGTTCTGACAGGGGGGTTGGACTAGATGATCTTTCGAGGTCCCTTCCAACCTAGGATTCTATGATTCTATGATAAGTTGGAGGTTAGCAAGATTTGGGAAGAACTGGTATGAAGAAAAACCGATGCATTAGTGACAGCTTTTTCTGAGAGGTTGAGTGAAAGGACTAGAGCTAAGAACTGATGGAAACTGTAATTCCTGGGGAAGGTGGTTGTTCCCAGTGGTGCAAGAAGGCAATGAAAAAAGTTGCCAGTGTAATAAGGACGAGGAGCTGAGTTTGACAATGGCAGTTTGGCCAGTCCCTTGTGTCTGAGCTGAAGTGCATAAGGGTATGCTGCAGATAAACATAGATGTGGTAGCTGAAAATCTGAAAGTGAAAATATTGCCACAGAATGGAAGGAGGAATAGAAGAAAATGAGAAGAACTGGGACTTAATATTTTTCCTAACTAGATCATTTTCTCTTCTAGCCAAATGAAAATGATGGACATAAAAAAGATCTCCCTCCACAGCACATTCAGTGTTTTGCATGTCCAAAATGTTTCCTCCTTTTTGCCAAGAGAGATGGATGCTTGCAGCATATGTCAGTAAAGAAGCACTTCCTTCAGGTTCCTAAATTGAGTGGTATGTTGCTACGAAGTGCACTGCTTTTCATTCCTTCTGATAATTGATCCTTATGATAGAAAGTGACTTACATTTTTCTGCTGTGAAAAAAAGCTTATGGTTTTTAAGTTTGTTTTTATTGAATTCTTATTTTTTCTTTTAAGGTCTCAAATGTGATACAGTTCTGTAAACGGAGATGCTTTGAAATTCATGTTTTTGTGTAGAAAAGATTCCTCCCATCAGTTGCTGTATTTAGAAGCAGACTTGCCTATATCTCTATGTTGTAAGGTCTCTCGTATAAGCTTCTTATCCTCCAGTGACTCTATGCAACTACTATCCTAAATAAGTTTACATTTAGGATGTTGATAGGAACTCAGACCAAAACACAGAAATTGCTTTTTCAATTCCAGTCAGACTGACTGATGTTCCTTCCCCTTACTGTACTGTGTCAAGTCTGCTGGAGACTATTTTTCTTGTCAATGTCCTTGGCATTCCTGATGGAAAAGACTTGTGAAAATTTCTTCTCCATATAATTGCAAATTCAGCCTGCTTAGCTGGAACAGTGCTTCCAGTCTGGTGCCTTGCACTTGCTGAAATACAGGAGGCTAACATACAGGTTATCTTGTGAGCTGGTAACATCCTGAACCATACTTGCTGGACTCCACAGGCAATACCTGACTGATCATGATCTTGAAAAAAGAGTTAATGACCGTCATAGTTGTATTGACTTCTTAGCTTTGTCATAAGCAGTAGGCATTAAAGTGTTTACTTTAATGTTAGGTAAACGGCTCAGACAGTTGAGATTTAGATGAAGTTGACTTCATATTTAAGAAGATGCTGTGTTTTAGATAGCATAATTCTCAGGATAAGCCTAGATGTCCAAAAGGATTGGTATAGTTATTTTTCATCTTCAGAAATAAATCTTCCACTTCTGACCTGCCCCAGAGAGGCTGTAGGAGGTATGCAGTAAAGACAGGCTTTGAAGGAATCTTCTTGCAGGTTGAGTCTGCCTGTCACATGAAAAGTGGCAGCTGCACAGTTCTGAGTTCTCTTATGTTTTGTAAATGTAATGTACTTTTATTCTCAAATAGGTTATATATTCTGAATATGCTGACTGTAGATGTCTTTAAAACCAAACCACAGGTTTTAAAAAAGGTTACTGGTGAGCTATTGCTTTAAAATGTTTAAAAGCAGAAAATAGTGTTTATTTCTTCAGAGATAGATAGTAATCAGCTCAGGACAAAAAAAGAAAGTGCTCAGTTTTTTTCTTCACCTTGCTAGGTCTTTATGGTTAATACTATCAGCATGCCCTGAAAGATCTGGCAGTGAAGTTAGTTGAAAGGCATAACCTCAAGTTACTGCCTGCTGATTACCACCTGTGGCTAAACAGTAAATTGAAAGACAATTTTTCTCATAAGGTGCAGAACATTAACAGCAGTATAAGCCATTTCCCATTCGCTTTTCAAAAGACTTTTTTTTTTTAATTCTGCTAGTACCTCAGTTAGACATGGAGTATGTACTTGGAACAACAGAAAGTCCTGCCCCTAAAAATGTAAGGGGAATTAACGTTTCAGGATGGGGAAACAAAGAGATGGTCAGAGTATGTGGGAACTTGTTAAATTGATTGCATAATCTTTCTTTTTTTTAAATACACTGTGTCTTTAAAGAGAAGTGTATGTTGTAGGAGTAGACAGATGGTGATAGATGGAGGGGAGGAAGGCCAATAATGACCTTCCTAAGAGAGATCTCTGACTTGACCTTGTAGAAGGAGGAAAAGGGAAGCAAAGTCAGTCACTAAGTATGAAAAAGCAAGGTGGAAACAGATTCAGATAAGGAATTGTTTCAGAAGTTTAAAAAACTAATCCGATTTTACTTAAAAGTTTCCACTGCCGGATTAGTGTGACTCAGCTGACCCATGGTAACTTGCTTTCTGAACTCTGACAAACAAGTGCAATGATAACTATATGTTGTCTGAGAGCTGAAGTACTGTGAAAGAACTCTTAACGTGATTGTACTTTCTGCCATTCCCTATTATAGATGAAACAAAGGCTGGCCTTCCATTACCTTTCCCAACCTATGCAAAGAACCTTCTGATATCTTTGTGCAAAGAGGTCCCCTTCCAAGTGAAGTGTATATCCTGCTACCAGACACTACGCTCACATATAGAATTAACGGCTCATTTCAGGTTTGTGAGAGACAGCTGGCTTTATAATGTGAATGTTTATAGATCAATAACAGATGGGCAGGTGTGTTCTTGTTGGTGCTAGTGCATTTTTGGGGCACTCAAAGCCCATCTGAATGTTGACTTCCTGAGTGAACTATCAAAAAAACACTCCCTTTTCTTCCATGTCTTTGACACTGCCTTACCCCCCCACTACAGTGCACTGCAGAATGCTGATCAATGTTTGTATCCTTTTTGTTACTTTCTCTGGTGAAACAACTGAACTTGGTCTCTGTTCTACTATTTCTAAGTTGGCAGCATTTGATTTCTAAAACGTACTGAGTCAACAACATAAGCAACAATCTAAGAGCTAGTTCTGGAAATCAGTACTGAATTATATTCAAAGTGCAGAGACTAGGTAGGCATTGCATGGTTTTGTTGACAAGCCAGCAGGTGAGTTAAGGTATACAAAGGACACAATTTCAATACACTAATGGTTGTAGCTACTTGGTATCTTTCGAAGTACATCTGAAAGTTTAAAAGTATTTCTGTTTATGATATAACCTCTGAGTTTTTTTAATCTATTCCAGAACACGTTGTCATAATTCTGGGCCTATGGCAGTGTCAAAGAAGAGCATCTCCCAGGTTGCAGAGATATTTAAAATGGAAGGTTACTGTGAGAACTGTGATAAACTGTTTGCTGATAAGAATCAGGTTATCCAGCATAATCAAACCACTCAGCATAATATTAAATTTCTTACTACAATGGAAGAGTCCGTCTTGATGTTCTGTCATATCAATGGGAAAAATAAAAATCAGTCTCCTTTGTGCCATCTTGTGGATCGGTCAAGACCACTGCTTAAGAGACATTTGAATGTGAATGAGTCTGTCAGTGAAAGTGAGTCCACTCCTTCAAAACAGAAGTGTGATTCAAAAGATAAAAATGAAGAACATGTAGCAAATGAAAGTCAAAGTCAGGCCAGTGCTTTCAAAGTAAAAGCCTGGTTTTGTGAATGCCTTCAAAAGTTTTTTACAGAAGAGTCAGTAGAAAAGCATATTTTATCAGCTAATAGGATCTGTCACAAGTGTGCTGTGTGTGGAAAACTTGCTGAAAATTCAAGCATTATCAGCCTGCATATGAGTCGATTCCATGGGGGAGCACACTTGAATAATTTTTTTTTCTGGTGCAGAGCATGCTCTGTAGATATTCTCAGAGAAGAGGATATTATGGGACATGTGACTGAATTTCATGGTGGACATAGTTACTATTATGAGCAAGAAGCTTTAGAAGATGAACCTATGCCATCCGCTTCTAATGCAGCATGCATTTCTGCAGATGAAAGGAAAGACTGCATTCCCAGCCCTATGGAAGTCTGCCCTGAAAAAAGCTCTATTCTTGGAAAATGGCAATGCCGCATTTGTGAAGAGATGTTTGACTCTGAAGAGAGTGTTAAACAGCATTGCATGTCCTTAGAAAGCCACGCGTTTCACAGATACTGCTGTGGCTTATGCAGAAATCACTTTCGAAAGATAGGAACACTACAGCGACACTGCCAAGAGCATCACAACAAGGAGATACAGACCAAATACTTCTGTGGCCTTTGTGGCAATCTCTTCTTTGACACAGAAGAAGAATTTCTAACCCATTATAAGGAGGTTCATAGCATGGACTATGCATTTGTGCCTGAGCAGATGGAAGTATCAATAAAAAAAGAAGAGGACTTTCTCCCAGTAGAAAAAGGAGACTTTTTAACCTGTGGTTGCCGGGCAACTTATGTCTCCAAAATAAACAGGAGGAATGATTATGTGAATTGTCAGAAAGCCATGCTGCAAAAAGGAAACTTATGGTTTCGATGTTGTGTCTGTTCTGCAACCACACAGAATTTTGCTGATTTGAACAGTCATCTCAACAGTCACACGTCAGTGAAACGAAAGGGAGAAATGTATGTTGTTAGATGTGCCGCGTGCAACAAAAATTTTGATGATCTTCCGAGTGCCCATCAGCACTATCACATGAAACACTGCTGCTTGCAGAAACCTAATCTGTCGAGTCTTGCATCAGAATCAGAAAATACAGTATTCAGGTTCACAGCAAATGGGGCTTGTGTGGACAGAAAACCTCACAAGCTAAAATTTCAAGCATCTCCATCCAAGACTCAGGGAAGACCACATTTGTCTCTACTGCACGGACCAATAAAGGTGAAGAAAGAAAGAAAAGAAAACACAGCATACTCTGAAGAACCTGGTGAAGGTTTGTAGGATTTTTATTTTTTTTCAACATTAGAATAATATTGTTGTATTTAACTCACTCTATTTCAATGTCAGAAGAAGTATGTAGCATACCATTTGCCTATAGTCTATAAATCAGCTTAGCATAGAGTGTTATTTCTCGAAGCTGCGTTTCGAATTATCTGTATTTGTGTTTCCAGAACTTGGACTCACCAATTTATTGCTATACCCTGTATGTATAAAGTCTTAAATAAACAAAAGTAGGCAGATGTGAGAACCCTGGGACTGAATAATTTAGTCTTCAAAGTAGCTGGGAGCATAATTTGGTGTTAAAAGAAAGGGGACAGTCAAGGACCCCAAATCAAGATCTAAGTCATAGAAATGTAAGCCTTGTCTATAATACATATTCAAGAGGAACTTGCTTTCTTTGTATGAATAAATATTTATGAGCCTGATAGTATTTTCTATGTGGGCATTCCTTCTTGGTTTCATTTAGCCTGCCAAAAAACATATGGCAAAAATACTTATATTCTCACTATGCATTAGGGTTTGGGGTTTTTTTGCCTTGAGTATGCCAGTATTTTTTAAAAAACACTAAGAATGACATCAAGAATGCTTAAGGTTTACCTTCTATTCAAAAGTGGGAGGTATTTTTAATTACTCATAGTGTCATAATGCAAAAAGTATGTATTCAAATTTTTAATGTGCTTTTATACATGTAAGCAATTAAATGTCACAGTCTTGCCATAGTAGGGGGTGCACAGTTCAATATTAAATAGACTATTAAAATAGTCAGTGCACGATAACAGCTTTCTGTTCCTACCACAAAACTGTCCAGCTCTGCACTCTTGTATAGCTAGATTCTGCTTTCTTCCATCTGCTTTGTTGCATCACCGAATGCTGCTTCAGTTGATTTAAAAACAATGCAGTCACTAAATAGGAGCATGTTTTGTAACCTTTAGCTTATAGAAGAGTTGAATACATGAGTTTTCAAAAGCCTATCTAAATCAATGTATATTGGCTGACCAGAAAGTCAGGTGAACTTTAAATGCATCCTTTTTATCCTATTGAAGATAACGAACTTCCTGATCTTGACTACCTGAGTACCATGACTCACATTGTATTGGTGGATCTGGACAACTGGGGAAGCTTATTCACGCAGCTGCCAGCTAACCTGAACCAAGGGACGTTTATCTGGGGCTTTCAAGGTAAAAAACATGGTTGAAGGAAATAGGAAGATAAGATTAACAAATCTAAACAAATACTTGAGCAGAGACTCCTTGAGAGAATGAAGACCAGGAACAAGCAGCCACTAAGACTTCTTAAGCCACAGTGTCACAGGCACCATGTAATAGAAATATTCTTGAACTTTTCTAACTCAGTCTCAACCTCTTCTTACCTTTCTACTCCTTGTAAAATATTGTTCCAGAATTGCAAAACAGTTAAGGAGTCTTTCTGGTTTCCCTGTTGAACTAACTTAGGCTATATCATACCAGGTATTCATAATTGTCAGGACAGACATAATACTCAGAGATTGTTTTCTTTCTAACTTCCACGTCCTTGTCATAATGTCATTTTTCTTTTTAGTTCCAAAAGGCAGGGAACATTCTTGTACTTGAATTTTGTTCTGTCTCCTTAAGGATGTCCCTGATCACACTGTACATCCATAGGTATCTAGCATCTGGAAGATACCAGTAGTAAAACAAGGTGATTTGATGGAACTCATGTTGTTACTGGTTCATAAGAAAACTTTTTGCAAAGTCTACCAACAGCATCCCTTTAATTTGATAATTTTCCTTACCTGACTATGCTTGAAGCAACTTACTGTCCACCTTGTGCTTCTTCTATTGGTTTTCTGTGTATCTGCCTTTATAATTATTTTACCTGTGGTACTTCAGATACTTTGGTAAAGTCTGAATGAGGAATAGTTTAAAAATATTTATTGCCTAAAATACAGGCATGATCTTAACAGTCCTGTAGGAGTTGTCAAGCCATTTTTCACTTGGTAAACACCATTGCACTACACTGCTTCTTTACATAATGCTTTTCATTACCTCTTACTTTAAAAGATAATAATCATCCTGAAAGTTGAGAATTTTCATGCTGCTGAGGTTGGACAGAAAGGCCTGTTGATGCCTGAATCACTTTAGTTTTTCCTCTTAGAAATACATGCTTCAGTTAGCTGATGATGGCAGAGCAACTATGTCTGTTAGTGTGAAGTGTTAGTTCTTCAGACAGTCTGCTGTAGTCTAGTGCCTTGTTGCTAGGAGTTCTGGGGATGGATCCTCTGATCTTCTCTCTTAAAGCGGATTATGCTCCTGAGTTTTGTGTTCTGATGAGGCATTTCTGCCATAGCATTAGCTGTACTGCCATTTCCCAGCCTTTGGCCTCTCTGTACACTAACAGTATTCTTGTGTGCACACACATACGTGCACAAAGCCAGAGAAGATGCTGATTCTTGGGGATTTAGATTATACCTAATCATCCTGGATTTCTATGCCATCCTTGCTGCCTGGCAGCTCCACTTCTTTATATTCTTTATCTATATTTATATTTTATTTATATTCTTTATTTGTTCTTACTGCCTTATGTGAGACTTTGCCCAGCTTGACTTCTGGTCAAATTGCACTTCACCTCTGCACTCCTTGACTTCTAAAGCTATTGTGATTTGAGGTTTGGTTGTGGCTCTTAATTGCTGAGGGTTTGTTGTTTGTCTATAGTTATTCAATCAGCTTGGCTGGGAATTTTTTTTTTTTTTTTTTTTTTTTT